TATTAGGAAACTATGGAACAGATGTGATAGTGCTTTTATTAGTATATGAAACACTTAATGAAATTCGATAGTGGCTGACGAAGGTATTAAGATGTCGCTGGTAGCGCCGAGGAGAGTTCAGCTTGATTGGGCCCATAACGTGCCATGGTAAGTATGTTGTTTTGTATTTTTCATGTTTTTTATTAAAGACTAAATTAGGGGCATCGATTAAAGACTAATTTTTCCAATGACAAAAGAAACTGAAGGTCTGAAAATTTTGTATGTTTATTCCATGAACTTGTGTTGAAGTCGTGTGAAAGTATACTTAACAACCATATCGCAGGCCGAGCGTGCTAAACACAGCATCATGGAGCTCCTCATGCTTAAATGAAGCAGTAAAATTTAAAATATTGTAAAGGGTCACGGGGTCCAGTAGATACTTATATATTTTTTTTATTAACATGACAAAATTGAAAAAACCATCTTTGCCAGTTATTCAAAAAATTGCCTACAAATTATTTCAGTTTATCGTTGTGATAAAAATAATATCATTAAGCTTTAGCCCAGTCTTATACACTACTTTAGCCCAAATGGAACTGACCAGCTGAAATAACCTGTCGTGAAAATTATTTTAAGGTCACTGACCTTAACGGTCCGTGCCTATCTTCGCTTGACAACCCGGAAAAAAAACTTGTCCGTCAGCTGAGCGAACACGACCAACTTCACGTCAGTGAAAAATGGAACTGTCATGGCATCGCGATCGATGTTAGTTCTCCTCTAAAATCACGGGAAAACATAAAAAACATGTCGCGATATGAGCTAAATGACGTAGTCCGCGCATTTTTCACTATTTAACTATATTATCGGTGAAACAATTTGGTAGTTCAGTGTTTTTTTCTGTGGATTTGAGCGTTTCTAAATTTATTCTCTGTCAGACGGGTCGACATATAAAATTTTTCGTGGTAAGTTATACATATTCGTTGGAATAATGAATGTGGACGTGTTTCTTGTGGGAATGCCGTGATTTTATCTGCGAAATGAACTGTTTTATTGTGAAAAATTAGCTTTGTGAATTGGTAAAAATCGATCATATGTGGGTGGGATAGCAGAGAAGTATGTCCGTCTCATTTTCTTATAACCCGTCCGTGGTGAAAAGTGTCGCAGTGTTGCGCTATCTGCATTGTGCGGTAGTTTACATAATTCAGTCGTATAGTATCTTCTTTCTCTCTTTAGCGGTAATGCTCGGTAATTTTAGTTCACATTTTCACGATTTTAATATTTTTCTAAATTAAACTTCTGCAGTTTGGCCAACGAAGGCATCCTAATCGATTTTTTCACATTGTTATTTATATATTGCGTTTATATATTCACTGACTATCACCAATTAAATCGATAATTATTTGCATTTTTTACGATATTAAAGTTTTTGTTCCAACGGATTTATGTAACTTTAAAAACGAATTAACGCATATCTCCTTACTAAGTTCAAAACACCCACTTTATGGAGTCCAAATCCAGATCTTAATATTTTACATAGTTTTTGCTCCTCATTGAGGATGAGGAGCGACATCGAATTATTTGTATGTTGATCAAAGGTATCTTGCAACATTTGGCTAACATAAACCTAAATGATATCATTACCTTTGTCATAAACAATAAACTGCATCGAAGATAATATAATTAGCTAAAGTCAATCACTCAATCTCATTCTTTAATATTTCACTTTATGTTAAAATTAATCTAATAAGAATATAGAAAAAGTGAAATTTGAAATATTCTTAAAATGGCCAACAATCTAAAACATATTTGATCAATTTTGCATTCAGTTTTCAATAAGAATCTACATTTGTTGTATATAGTATTATTTTTCAAAATGATTATGAAAAAATTGGACTTTATCAACATATTATAGCATATTATATGATCACTCATCAATGATGTCATACAATTAACAATTCTGTAGCATAACTGTACCCACTATTTGTTTGTTGTTGGTGTTTTTCAATACAAACTCTTGTGTTGTACAATTCACAATTTAGTGCCTTCTATGTTTGAATTCTGTTTGCCTTGACACTTATGGAAAATGTACTTATCTCTCTTAAAATTGTTTTATTATGGTACTGTTAACAATTCTGTTGCACAAACTAAACTAAATATAATTTATACTTAATTATTCTAAATAAATTAAATAACACAAGCAGATTTATTCAATTGTATATACAGAAGTTTAATTATAATCACAATAAACAGAAAAAGGTTATGTTATAATATTAATACAATCCAAAATTAGAATTATACCTTTTTAGTTTAGTGACTGGTACAATAGAATAGCTACCGATATAGATCTGCAGTCCACACCGGGCCCATGTGGTGGGTGATGGTCAATTTACCCTGTTTGTTTTGATTCCATCCTTGGGCCTTAGGGAAGGTCTGTACCACAGAAATGGGGACATTGATAGTCTCTTGGTAAAAACAACTGGATAACATTTCTGTATATAAGTTCCTTTTCTACCAAAAATTCCTTTAAACCAGAATTTTTGTTTTATTTTTGAGATCATATAGGTTTATGGGTTTGCATCCGATTTCAGACATCTAAAACTATCAATAGATAAAGTTAGTACTATATAGCATACATTGCTATATAGTACTAACATTAACATGGCTCTTCTTGTTTTCCAAAAGGCTTTTCTGCAAGACAAGAGAAGCCATCTACTGCCTAGCCTTTTCAGTAACTTTTTAATCTCCATAATGTCAAATCAAATGCACAATTACTAATGCGCCATCAAACTCACAAGTACCAGGCAATCATAACTTTGTTGTGATAATTTTATTTCCCCTTATTAAAAACCATTTGACCTTTTCAACGCCAGGGAGTTGACTCAATTAGCTTGAACTTTACTGTTCTTTGACCTTTCTTTGTAAAAATAGGTCAATCTTTATCAATGTTAAAATTAGGTCACACACAATAATGACCTTCTGTTATAATATATACTGACTGAATCATATTTACAAGACACCGTAAATATGATCCAAGCTTATTTTATTTGCATTGTATTATCTGATATTGAAAAGGTTGAGATCATTAATTATGGTGCATGTTCCCAACCATTGTTGACAGAGTTCTGTTACTAAGTTTTCCATTTCGCATTACACAGAGCCCTTTAAAATATGATTGAAGCAATTCCTTGAATACAAGTCCTATAGTTTATGTTGGAGATAACTCCAAAACAAAAAAGAAATGAAAATGCGAACTGATCACATTTCCTTTGACCCATGTGTCGAGACGAGATCATGTATGGCTCCGATTATTTGCCTACCCACGCGTAACGTCACGCTGCTCAGGTTAAATCTAAATCCGGTTTTATGTAAATAGAGCTTTTCCTTGCTTCAATTCATCAAATTAGCCAAAAGACGTGCAGTGTTAGGAAAAATAAAGCTGTGCGATTCATATGTGCTATAAGCTTTTTTGGATAAAAAAATTGATTTGAATTAATTATACCTACACCAGTCACTATTCCGCACATTGGCCGAGACCGCATGAAAATCCGTTTACTAAAAATTTCTCAGTTGATCGCGTTTAGATACAGACGCAGTGAAGCGACTTTCTTTTATGATAGGTAGAGTAGGTCTTTTATGAAGGGTAGAGAGGTGTCAAGTTGAAAAATGATGAATAGGTCCAAGAATCGCCTGAATTTCTTTATCGTATTCACAATATTTTCAACGTCAATAGAAAGTTTTTTAATATCATTAAGTAACCGCTATCGCCCGGGGTCCCGGCATTCAATGGGACGTCCTTTACGTTTTTTCATTTGTAATCTTCATCTGTAGTGCCCTCCAAGGTTTTCGAAATAAACCGGTGTCTTGAGCACAAGCCATTTTGTTTTGATCTTTGATCAGAACTGAAATAATTTCGATTTGATTGACCGAAACGTAAATGTAAAAATTGTATCGAGAGTATTAATTAGTATTATCTATGCTTTCGAGCCCTGCTGCCGTCATGATAATGCAAGCCTGTTGCAGTCCACTGCTCGACTCTGATCTCCACCAGGGTGCTCCAAAAACACGATCTGTAATGAATGTATTAGAATTTCGTACGATGCAGCACATAACTACATTCTTTAACTGCAATGCGATATCCCATCGTTTGAGTTTGAAGTCTGTTTTAGTTTTTGAAAATGCACTTTTTTTTGAGAAAAACGAGATATAAACTTACAATTATTTTTCAAAGAAACTATTTAATCCTCATTCAATTTTATAGAGCCTCTATGTTACAACATTGTACACCTTTCTATAGTCGGTTAAAAAGAATGGTAAAATCATTGCATCTAAGGATTTTGTTATGTCGTATTCGTAAATAAGTTGTGAAAGATCACAATTTTAGCTTTACCTTTTTTTGGAGATTTACTTAATTAAGTAACGCTTCCGACAATGATTTTGTAAATTATTTCCATTGAGTATTTTTATATATCCACTTTATAAACCCTTAAAAATATGTTGTAGTATTCTCGTGTTTTAAATGCAGGTAATTTGGACGTTATTTGTTCGTATAAAACCAATTGATAAATTTTTGGTGTACGCGCCCGCCCTCTTAACAAGTCCCAGCTTATAATGGGACACAATCACGTCATCGAATATCTTAGTTCGATCCCCCCCTATTGTAAACGTACCCTTAATCTATAAAATGAAATCTAAGACATTTCATTGGCTAACATAATATCATAAATTTTACCCACTGAAGTCAATAAAATTAACATAAGACTTGTATTTAGTTTTGTACCGGTATATCATTTATTTTAATCTTGATATTATGAACTAATGTTGTTCTAATATTACAAGTTTATTATCTCGAGCTCCTCCGTGATTCGGAAGGCACGTCAAGCCGTTGATCTCGGCTGCATCTGCGACGGTTAACACCCACCAAATTGCTCTGTACCCGCGTGGTGTGCCAGGACCCGTTCAGCCTATTTCATTTCCGTGCCTTCAATCCCAAACTTAAACAGTTTTCAATATTGCCCAGGCCAATGAGAACCAAGAAAGGTCATAGGATATGCGAACTCCATGGACAAAAGCTTATAATGGTGAAATGTCTACCCAGACTTTAAATAAATAAATTAGAGAACCGACCACGAATGTTGTTCAAATAATGTCTATCTGTAAGAGATCGAGTTATTTGTATCTAATACTTTTTAGACAACCAATTAAAAATAATTATAGGACCTTCGGTTTTTTGTTTTCTGTAGCAATACAAGTACACTTCACTTTGGTGCACAAAAAAATTCAAGGTTTCGTGGTCTGCGCCAATCGCGGACATCAATTAAACATTTGGTTTAAAATTGTTGTGCTTATCAAATAATGTGGAAACTTGGGGATTTGATTTACTTAACCCATTTTATTTCTTTTTATAGGGTTACATAAAAGTTATATATTATGAAAATGACTTGTAAACCGAGTTTAATTACGTTTACGGTTATTATGTATGTTAATAATAACTTATTTATTAATTTAATAAAAAGAAAATCATAAAAAAAAGTTAATAATCATTTGAAATGAGCAGTTGATGTTGCAGTAGAAATGCTGAGACCGCATTGCGAATAAGAGGCAAAACCGCACAAAACGAAGGATTGCGTTTCACATTTTCAGTATGTTAAGTGCGTGCGTACGTATAGAAAGGACGTGCATTTTTTAAATATCGAATTGATGTTACGTGACATATTATTTATATCGAAAAATACCAACGCAACGTACGAAGTTTTTATCGGTACACAACTCGATCATAGTTACAATAATAGTGGTAAAGTTACAAAGCAAAACATGCCAATAGGGTTGATTGTTATTGTCGTATCTTTTGTGTTTGTTGACATTGATGTCATCACAACTATATTATCATTTCGTCGTTAGATAGTGGCCATTATTAATTGAATTATCAATTGATTACATTATAGTTATACTGACCCATTTATTGTATTGGCCAAGGAAATAGTAGTTAAGTACGTATAATATCCTTAATATGTCAATGAGGTTTTAATTAAATTATAAAATCGAAATAAACCATTTCGTCGTTAGTAAATTGCTGGAACCTTGTCTAAATAACACCCACGTGACGTCATTTGAAAAATAGAAAGTATAGATAGCACAAAAGGCAAGAGATAAATTATTTATTAATTATTACAATATTATAATCCCAAAATCTGAGCAACTGCATTGAAACAAAATTTTTTTTTTGACGCTGATAAATGCGTTACGCATCTGCGCTACACCCAGCGCGGGCTTCACGGGTTATGTGGGACTCCTCCTGCAGCCCCACCCCCGAAGGGCTAAACAACAAGCAGGAGTTTACCCGCTAAAACTCAGCGATGTCCCTCGCATGGAAGGCGATGCGCGGGATCGGCTCGGCGGCCGTACACCGCGCGGTTCGCCCTCATTTCGGCCCGCCCTGAAATGGGCAGATCCCTCTGCGGGTTGGGGGTAACATCTCAGAGACATTTAAGATGTAACACCCCCCCTCCCCCCCCAGTGTGCAATGCCGACCGGCGCGTAAACCAGCCAGCTACCCCCGACTAGTGAAATGTCACATGACATCACGCTTTGGTGCATTTTCTACAAAACCGTGACGTAACGAGCCCCCACTCCTCAACTTTAATGCATATTATCTAAGCCATTTCTTGTTAAATTGTAATTAAAAAAAAATACCTATCTAATATTTTTCTATTATCTGATTGACGCACTCAATAGAATTCTTTTTTTTACCCTGTCTTATTTGTTTTAGGACATAAACACAATTTGAATTAAAAATAAGAACAAATAGGTACTCTTTGTTGTACAATAAAAAAAAAGTGACATAAACACACAAATATTGAAACAATTACGTATAAAAGGCGGACTTATCGCTAGTCATCAATTTCTTCCAGACAACCTTGCATTAGTTGAAAAAAAAAAACAAAACATTAACTTACATATTTCCGAAATGTTGTATACATATCTTACAGTTTCCGTCTTCAAGAAAATTCGATACCAGTCTGCACAAAGATTATTAGAAAATTTTCATCATGCCCATTGGGAAATCCCATCTCGAAGTCGACTGTTTACGTGTCAATACGCTACAATATTTATTTAATTTTGTTGTGTATATGTAACTATCCTTTTCCATTACGTAAAACGTCAGTGTTTAGAAGGTGACGGCAAGTAGAATACGTACAATACCGATAGTCATTCCCTCGGTCGGGAGTAGACCTCCAACAGAGCGTCGGGAACAGTGTCATAGTATACTCGTATGTACCGTACACCGCGCCTTCATGTTGCCATCTGTAAGAGAGCCAATACGCGCTGTCCACCAGACACCCGCGACATCGTCTCTCGGAGTCCAAATTGTAGGCAACTCATTTGGGTGATCATCCGTGTGGCTGACATAAATAACCGCAGTGTTTGTTTTTAATTTGCGCAAAAATGGAACAGGCAGGTTACTAGTACTGTACTACTAATGACAAAAAAAAAGATATATCAAGAAAACGAAAAGACCACCAGACCACTAACCTATCAATGTCTCTCTGGAGTTCTAAGACTGAAATTTCTGATTCAGAAACCAGGGCCCTTCATAGCTATTAGACATCGTGTGACAAGTGACAATAGAGAATGTTAATTCATATTAGTATGTAAAACCACACCCAGAATCAGAATAAATCCAGGCAAACTGGGACATGTGGCGGTCATACCCTAATGGAAGTATGTGTTCATTTGTTCCAGGGAGCAGGGTCCCACTTGCGAGCGGGAATCTCCGTTCAAGCATCAGCCGCCACAGTCAAATAGATCAGGTAAATATGAAATGAGTCGTTAATTAGCTACTTCCACACTCGGTGTCGTGATTGTACGCTCCCTGTTGATTAGCTTGGTCTAATATTCTGGGGATATTTCGTGGAGGGGCGTAGTACATGCCTATAAACGATAAGTAATGGTTGTGAGGTTTGCTGCCATTCGAGCAGGTCTGTCTCTTTATGGATCGACCAGCGATGCAGAGATATATCTTAAAGAACTGAGTGGGGAATTATCTTACAAGAACAGAATTGTACTGTCATCAGTTTGTAATAAATGTTCCTCTTTCCTCTTACGAACTGTTAATAAGTGAAGCTCTTGCCTTGTCAAGGTTTTTTTTACCGAATAGAGTATATTTCTCTGCTACTTTTGTCGTAGATTTTATGGGAGTGTGTTTGCTTTGCCTATTGATTTCATATATTTATTTAGTGTATGTGTTTATTGCAGAGTCTTCATCGTCGTCGGCGGACACAGCGTCGCAGGGCTCGGGTTCAGCCGCCGCACCCGCGCCGCGCCCTAGAAGACATGAACCCCAGGTGAACAAACCCTTATATTATTATAAATTATATTTAAAAATAGCTGTATTCTCGCGACTTCACTCGCGTAATATTTGGCCTATGTTATCCGTGTATGTGTATCCTGTAGGTGAAGAATTTTTAAAATCGCTCTAGTTGTTTTGAAGCCGATTCAATGTAAACAAACAATCATGACTTTACTTCTGACTCGTTGAATTTCGGTGCTGACTTTTCCACTTCAATGCATTAATTTTTATTTTTATTCATGAATGAATACAAACAAAAGAATATTTAATATTGGCAAAGAAGATGTATGCTCCAGTTTGACAGATTCATGAAATTTTTGTTTTTTATTTCTTTTCAGAGAGAAGAGAGGCGCGTGGAGGCCAACAACGCGCCGAGAGTACAGCCTAACCCGTTATTGAGGTAAAATAACTAAATATTATACAATGTTTTATATGTCGCTCAGATTCCAAGTACCCGAAGAATAGATATCAAACTGAGAATAAAAAGATCACCTATCGCACGGTCCTAATGCAGATCTGTAGATGCTAAAGTCCTGCCTATCCAGCCGGGCTCGACAGCTTGAAGAGCCTTGATGAAGGAGAGAGCCGAATGAGTTTTTCACTAAATGTAAAAAATAAACTTTTATATAACGTCTCGGGCTTTGAGTGTTATGATATTAGAATTCCATTATCCGAGCGCTTTAACTAGTTCAGGATGTGAGCAATACCTATGTGATTTGTTAATCGACGTTGTTTTACAGTTATAATCGGTCGGTATACACATGATATCAGGTCGCGGACCCTCCCCAACTTCGGCGAGCGTCGTTCCCGTGAGGCGTCCCGGTGCGACACCTCGCGGCGAGCGCATCACATCACCATGGCCACCGAGGACCTGCTGCAGCCCGGGCACGTGGTCAAGGAACGATGGAAGGTACACATACACGAATACACATCTCGCTCACCACTATCATACTCTCGACTGGAAATAATTCGCATTAATTTTCTCATTTCTCCTTATTCTACTAATCTCGAGCTGAATAATAATCGTGAACATTGTTAAATTCGTTTTCTAGAAATCATAATAGGGATGATCGATGAACATCGATGTTACTATACGAAAAATAACGTAACATCGATGTTAACGGGTCCGATCATCGATGTTAACTCATGGCCTCACGCAAGATCAATGCATTATTTGATAATATTAATATGAATTGAAATTAATCGATTAATATTTAAAATTAATTAATAGTTTTGATAAAGAAAAAACTAAATATTGTTACATACATTTTTTTTCACAATTGGTTCTACTTATTATCAACAAAGAAATGGATTAAGTTTCTTCTTTATCAAAATTATTTTAACTTCAGTCAATTGATAAAAAATTATTGGAATATGTGATAATTTGTTCTGTTTCTTAAAAAATTTCGAAAGATTTCACTGTATTTTGTTTCTTTGTCAATTGTTGCAAAAATAATGGAAGTTATCCAACATGATGTTCAGTTTTACATCAATATCGAGCATCGATATTGGCCTTACGATAATGATATCGATGCTAACTATGTTTTCTAATATCGATCATTCCTAAATCATAATAAAGAACTGCTCTATTGATTCGACTTAATTGTTACTATACTACACTTGTTTCTGTGAACTTCTTGTACGATAAAATATACCGTAAGTTTAATAAATATACATCAAAAGTCCCAAAATCTATTAAGTGTTTATATCAACGAAGTGAGGTACTAAGTTTGCAATGTTTATTTCTCCAGGTGGTGAAGAAAATTGGTGGCGGCGGGTTCGGCGAGATCTACGAGGGTCTGGACCTGGTGACCCAGGAGCAGGTGGCACTCAAGGTGGAGTCCGCGCGCCAGCCCAAGCAAGTGCTCAAGATGGAGGTCGCCGTGCTGAAGAAACTGCAAGGTGAACTTATAACGAGTTAAGCTTTCTGGTACTTCGAGTATAAGCGGGACGGTCATGATTAGTTGTCATGTACAACTAACTAGGGCAACCCATGAAAACTCGTCTTCCTCTAGGATTTAATCAGGTGAATCTTATCTCAATAGGTCTATCTATCTGTATCTCGATAGGTTATTGTGGTTTAATCTATGAAAACAAGGTGATAAGAGCTTTATTAATTATTATAACTCTCTAATCGTGAAGAATGCTACTTGCATATATGGGTCAAATATATTTTTGACATAGTTCAAATGTGTATGTGTCATATTGCTATTTTTTTTATAGCAATACAATAAAAGGCTTAATACCATCAACAGATCAAAGTAAAAAATCGCAATCTTCACTAAACCATGTGATCAAACTAATATAGTAATGGTGTCTTATAATTTAAATGGACTACGAAGATTAGTGTGGTGTAATTAGCATTTTTAAAATTTTATTTTTCATTATTTACTATAGTAATATTTTATGTTATAGAATTATGCTCATAAAAATTAACCATCTCAACTATTGAGACCTGAAAGCATATTGGACAAAGTTTTGTGATAGAGTTTTGACATCACGAGCACTTGTCACTGGCTTAGACTGAATAAATTATTTTAATTTCATTTAGACAAACACTCGGACACTAAATGGTTCTCTTGGTTTACTCATCCATTTAGAAATTCATCCGATAGCGTTTGTTGGTTCAAACTGAAAAGCGGAATCTCAAAAAAATAACTCAATTTTATTATTTTCTTAAAATCTATTATTTTCTCTTATCGATGTAATCGAGTTCAGAAAATGAGGTAAGAAGTGAGCATACAACCTTCTAAACTCATTTTCTTAAAATACTTGCGTACTTTAGGAGCTCAATGAGGAAGTATTTAAAAAAAGAAACATTAGTTCCCGAAATCAAACTAGATGTCGCTACGGTACGTTCTTGATTTCTCCATGACAACCCTTCCGGTTTTCTTTCATGTATAAAAGTAAATTAGTTTTCAAAACTCAATAAACAACTCATATTCTATTTGTACTTTTTCGTATTTGTATTGATATCTACGTTTCGAACTTTTTAAATTTCAGTTTTTTTTAATGTTTGTTAAAAGGAACGGAAATGACTGACTTTGGTCTATTCGCTTCCTGCAAAAATCAACTTTTGCTAGAGTCGCCATCTAGTAGAGGTGCTTTTTGCCTTTTTTTTGTTTTTAAATACTTCATTGGAAGAGCACTCGCCCAGATAGGAAGGAGGCGGTGTTTTTCAAGTAATTTTAAGATGAATAACAAGTTGCGCAATAGCAGTAAGTTTGTATGCATCGTAGGCAAGGAGCACGTGTGCCGTTTCATCGGGTGCGGTCGCAACGCGCGCTTCAACTACGTGGTGATGCAGCTGCAGGGCCGGAACCTGGCCGAGCTCAGGCGCGCCCAGCCGCGGGGCGCCTTCTCGCTGTCCACCACGCTCAGGTACACCGCCGCCCACTCATGCCCGCCTGGTACTCGTGGCTCGGCTATATTGCTACTAAAAATGTACGAAAAAGTGACCTCCCTTGTTGTTTTTATTATAGGTTCGGTAAAAATCCTATATTATGCCTTATGCTATAATTTATCAGTTCTGACGTTCTACAAGCGTGAGCATGAGCAGAGCAGAGTGAGTGAGCATGAGCATCGACCCTTATCGATTACAGGGAAATCAACTAGTCCATGGTTTTTAGGATTCAATATTAGCTCTCGACCTGTTTTTATTATAATATTTGGAAACAATTGTTAAGATTTTTTCTTGTTTTCACAAATTATTTATCTATCTATAATTTTTTCAAAGATATATAAACTTCTGTTCTTTTAGGCAAATGGTGTTATAAATGGACATACGCTAAAAGCGATAATCGCTTAATGACATATCGCTTCGTAATAAGATTTGTTCAAAATTATAAACTCGCCTTAATTTAATACACGGGAAAAATAATTGAAACCCTTCTTAAATGGCTGAAAATCAGTTCATAATAATAATTATTAAGAATATTTGTAGTATGTAACAATATTTGTTATAGGTATATCTTGTTTTTCCAGATTGGGTCTCCAAATATTGAAAGCCATAGACTCTATACATTCTGTCGGATTCCTACATAGAGACATTAAGCCGGTAAGTTTGCCACAAAGCCGGATACGTATGACGAGTCGGCCCCCAAATGGGAATCGATATCGAAACTTATGTTTTAATATCGACTTGATGTTCAAACACGATTTATGTACTTTTCGCGACCGACTTCCGCTTTGACCTTGAGATAGAGAGCAAAATATCCGTATGCTTAACTATTACTGAATGTGATATATCTCTGAAGCTAATTAAGATAAAGAAGTGAAACTAACGCGAGGTGTTAGGTTACATTACAGAGTATATCACATATATTTTTTTATAAATTTAGAATAAAAAATTACATTAAAAAAATAAAAAATAAAAAAATCATGTTTTTTTTTCTGAGTTCTCTGTGACTTACAATCACGAAATTAATATATGTTATGCTCCTTTGTGTGCTCTATCACCCATAAAAATTGCGTGAAAAAAAAGTTGGTGCAACACAACGAAAAAAAATTATATGTGATTCGCGCCTTGTAGTGTGAGTGTATAAACAAACAAGTTCGAACTTGTTATCGCGCTGTTTACTGCATCGTTTGTTTAGCTAAAGTCGCAGTCATTTGTATTACACAAGAAGGCAGTTTGGGACTCAAATTCTGTCATAGGTATTTTGTATCAGCATTTTGAAATTATTAACTATCGAACCTAATCATTATTAAGTAATAATGTCGAGAAAGTGTAAAAATTGTAACAAGTACCTGTGTAAGATTCCTGGTTATAAAAAACATATAAAGAATGAAGAAGAAGAACTAAAGTGTTTAGTGACTGTTTGAATAAAATCGTAATAGTTAATGATATTTTTTGTAAGAAGTGTCGACTTATCCCATATGTTAACAAAAAAGCTTCTACTTCTAAATGTGCAGCATTTAACTTGGCCGAAATTATGGACGATCAAAATAATCTCTCAGTACAATATGTGAAATCAGCAGGGTCAAACTGAAAGTTCTTAGAAAATCAAAAACTGATTACATTAGCCAGTTATTAGTTTTATTATATCTTTTCAAAATATTGTCCATTCACGTCAATACACCGCTGCATGCGATGGAACCACTGGGAAAAGCACTTTGCCCACTCGTCCTTAGGGGTCTCTTCAATGGCATCGCGATACGCAGCCACCGCTTCTTCAGCATTCATAAACCGCTTTCCTTTAAGTTTTTCTTTAATTTTTGGAAATAAATAAAAATCACAAGGCGCGAGGTCGGGGCTATACGGCGGGTGACCCAGTAATTCAACGTTTGATGTCGCCAAATAGTCGATCGTTCGCTTGGCGGTGTGCGACGAGGCGTTGTCGTGGTGAAGGAGGATCCTACTGCGAGGTCGTTTCTCTCGAACTTTTTCCAAGACAAGTGGCAAACAATTGGTAGTGTACCATTCTGCAGAAACTGTTTTTTGATCCTCTAACACAATTGTTGCAAAATGACCTATCCTTCCAAAGAACGAGGCCACCATTTTTTTTCCCGCACTTCGATCTCTCTTCACTTTAGTTGGCAACTCCTCGAAAGGAAACACCCACTGAGCAGATTGTCTTTTGGTTTTAGGATCATAACAGTAAATCCAGCTTTCGTCACCTGTTAGTATGTCGAACACAGCATTTGAGTCACCTCCGTTAAATCTTTCAATCATTTTACGACACCAATCCACACGATGGAGTTTTTGAGCCTCAGTCAAATTATGAGGTATCCACCGGGCGCAAAGCTTCCTGACCGCTAAATGTTCGTGGAGGATTTTGTGCACTTGACTCATACCGATGCCTAAGCTTGTCCGAATCTGTTGATAGGTCACTCTTTTGTCAGTCTCTATCATACGCCGCACAACACAGATGTTATCTTCAGTCGTCGCCGTAGAAGGCCGTCCCTCACGTAAATCATCAGTGAGATTAGTGCGACCACGTTTAAACTCATTAAACCAGTTGTAAACAGTCGCACGAGATGGGGCTTCATCGTGAAAGGCCAATCGTAGTCTATCATAACTTTCTTGTTGACTTAAATGACATCGAAAGTCATAAAAAATCATTGCACGAAAATTTTCTCGTGTTAAATTCATGATGACGTGACACAGACAATTTTCAATTTGCCGCCAAATCGTAAAACAAATGACAAATGAATGAAATATATACTCAGTAATATTGGCAAAGAGTTATATTTTCAAATTTTAGAATTATTTTTTTATTATATTGTTTATAAGTGGCCAGTTCTAAGAACTTTCAGTTTGCAAAGCAGAAGTAAAATCAAGACATATAAATAGAAAAGTCTATCGAATTTACATTCACTATATTTCCGAAGGTAATGACTACAATAGTATTCTTCGTTATTGCTGTGATTGCCCCAATGGCAAACGTACAGTGGGATGCTGTTCTCATGTAGCAGCTATTATTTATTATCTATCATATGGATGATATTTGTTCAAAATCGTACGTCCTGCTGAGGTCCTAACTAAGTTATTTGCGACTCAAAGTGTTCCGATTGTAATTAATTACAACAAAGACGATGATTAATATTTTGTTTCTTGTATTTTGATAGACACGAAAAAGTAATAATAATAAGTATTGAACACTGGCTGTTTTTTTTTTCATTTCTTTTTTAACTATTATTTCATCTTTTAAGACTATTTACTTAAGTTTTAACACAAGCTGATGTGAAATTTCGAAAAAAAAACAATGATGTAATGTGAAAACCTTATAATACAGGGGTATACCATAAGACAGAAATCACATATAATTTTTTTTCGTTGTGTTGCACCAACTTTTTTTTCACGCAATTTTTATGGGTAATAGAGCACACAAAGGGGCATAACATATATTAATTTCGTGATTGTAAGTCACAGAGAACTCAGAAAAAAAACATGTTTTTTTTTTTTTTTTTTTTAATGTAATTTTTTATTCTAAAAATTATAAAAAAAATATATGTGATATACTCTGTAATGTAACCTAACACCTCGCGTTAGTTTCACTTCTTTATCTTAATTAGCTTCCGAGATATATCACATTCAGTAATAGTCAAGCATACGGATATTTTGCTCTCTATCTCAAGGTCAAAGCGGAAGTCGGTCGCGAAAAGTACATAAATCGTGTTTGAACATCAAGTCGATATTAAAACATAAGTTTCGATATCGATTCCCATTTGGGGGCCGACTCGTCATACGTATCCGGCTTTATTATCATTAGAAATTAAACGTTTAAAAGAGTTTACACATTATCTCCGCGTTTTTTCGGACTACTATAATAAAAGATTTGTATTTACTCAGGATTTGAGTCAGTAAGTTAATTTTCATTTTGTATGAGAATAGATGTCTTTAAACTTAAAATTTACTGATACTGATTTTACTGATTTTTTTACTATAGAATTTAGTGCAATATTGTAGGTAAACTCAAAACTGACGAAACTAGCTCGTACACATTTTTCCAGTCATTGCTACATCACCAGCCTGTTTATATCTGAAAACCATTTTAGTTTCAATACCCACAAATTGTGAATTACTCCTTTAATTGATGAAAACTTAACAAAGTACATTAACCAAGACGGTTAAGGCTTTTTTATAATAAGTAGTGGCTATTCTAGGTTATGTTTATATCAAGTTGTTATTTTTTCCATACGAGCCAGCCATCTGAGCTTATTTCCCGTGTGTGTTGTTGTACAGAGCAACTTCAGCATAGGTCGTCACCCGTCCAACTGCCGCAAGGTGTACATGCTAGACTTCGGTCTGGCGCGCCAGTACACCACCAGCAACGGGCAGGTGCGCCCCCCGCGCGCCGCCGCCGGCTTCAGAGGTCAGTACCGCAGGGCACTGTACTAGGCCACCTGTTGTTTATCATATTTTATTGTCTCTAAACATGGTCAATGTTTAATTTATTAAAACCAATATTGACGACTCATTCATTTCAGAATGATTTTAGTAGCAAAAAATGCCTTAAGAAAACAGACCATGTGAATATCAGGGCTTGAATTAATAGTAATTTCCATTTTATTTTATGCAACGACATATAGTTGTTATCTGAATATTTTCTTAACAATGTAAATTTTCCCATTTTGTATGATTGTATACCGAAATTATATTAAAATGTTTTAATTGACCATTTCAAATATATTAAGATTCGTGAAAACAAGAGGAGGACTGGGTTAGTGTTACTGATGTTTTGTAACAAATTGTCGACGAATTTATATACCTTTAAAATGAATTATTAATTGATTAGATCTGTCGGTGATCGAGCCACGATGACTAGTGTCCGTTATTTTAATTAATATGAATATGATGTAATCATCGATGCCAGGCACGGTGAGATACGCGTCGATAAACGCCCACAAGAACAAGGAGATGGGCCGGCACGACGATCTCTGGTCGCTGTTCTACATGCTGGTGGAGTTCGTCAATGGACAGCTGCCGTGGCGCAAGATAAAGGACAAGGAACAGGTATGTTATACGTCTGTCACCGCTGACACACATCTGCACTCCTAGTATCTGACACTGCGGCGGCGGTAATAAAAAACAAATAGATTATATTGGAATTTAAGTTTTTCGACTGATGTTGATTCAATATTTTATAATGTAAAAAATTTCAGACTCTTAATTAAAAAAAGAAATCCAAAACTAAATTCGATCACGATATCCTATAATATTAAACTGATAAAATTTAATCATAGTCTGAGTAGTGTAGTTTTTACATCTGTCCGTGTAAAATGTTCGTCCTAAGGTGGGTCTGATGAAGGAAAAGTACGACCACCGGCTTCTGCTCAAGCACTTGCCGTCGGAGCTGCGCCAGTTCCTCGAGCACGTGCAGCAGCTAGAGTACGCCGACACGCCGGACTACGCCATGCTCGCCGCGCTGCTGGAACGCTGCTGCAAGCGGCGCGGCGTGCGCGACGCCGACCCCTACGACTGGGAGAAGGACGTGAGTACACACACCCGCGCGCACACTCGTGTGCACTCATGCACTCCTGGTACCAGGCCGCCCACGCCGGGGCTCATTATTTCATACTTACACTTGATGTTTTATAGTAATGGATTTAGTTTGGATAATAAAACAAATAATATTATTTTTACAGACGTGGTTGTTATTGTTATGACGTTGAAATTTATATTCGGTAAGAATGTTTAAGAATGTACACTTCCCAAAATGTGCGAATAATCGGAATAGGGGTGTAGACAACTTTTTTTTATATATTTACTAGCTGACCCGACAGACTTCGTCCTGTCAAAAAGATTTGTAATGTGGCAGTTTTTTTGCCTACGTATTTAAAAAAATTCTCCTGAACAGAACCGTCACCCTGGTGATAGGGCGTTGTGAATAAAAAATAATTAAATAAAACATATATAAGGATTTAAAAGTAAGTAATCGCTTTATTGTTAATCATGTGAATCATAATTATTATTGCAATGTATTAATAGTAATAGTATTAAATATAGAAAAAAGAGATTTTTATGATCATAAAAACACATTACACACAACAGCATTATAAAAGTAAACTATTCGAATTAAAAAAATATATAAACATTCTCAAGGAAAAATGCTGGAAGAATCCATCTACCTGTACCCCGGAATGGGACTCGAACCCATTCGCGATCCAGGGACTGCTCTAACCAATGAGCTATCTAGGACCCAACAGCTTTGCTACTACAGAGCGTATTTTCATCAATGTTCCGGCAATACATGTAATGACGTGGAAACTGATGCATTTTATCTCGCGTGCCGAAACTAATACAAAAGAAACGCGAGTTTCGGAACGCGACATTAAACTCCTCCAACTATGTATTCTGTGCTCCAACGCACACACGCACATTGTTTTGTGATAGATATGATCTTTGACGTTAGGAACACACCTACATTGCTTAGACAACAGTGAGTGCTTGTAATTTAATATGAACTTTATACCATAGCAATAAAGCTCAAATTGACTACGTTTTAGTTACAAATCATTTGTATGGGAAAAAGAAAAGGGCTATTTTTAGGGTTTTTCCAGCAATAATTCTAATTTTTCTCGCCGTAAAAACCATCCTTGAACTTCAACGAACATTTTAAAAAAGATTTGGCCAAATTGGTCGAGGCGTTGTTGAGTTATGCGCTTACCAACACATTTTGCGATTCATTTTTATATATATAGATTTCATATACATGGCATATATCTAAAAAAATATTTCGAAATGTATAATTCATATAATCAGTTGAAATCTAAAAATAAATATAATTTTTAAAATTTCATGTGAGAACGCCTCTTCTATCATGGTGTCGTCATGACTCCAAGGCCCTCTGAAACTAATGTCGTTTTATGTAAGCATACGGCTGATTACGTTAAGTTCTGATATGAGTAAGAGGATCGTGACGGCATGCGCTGTTTGCTGTCACGGAACGAGTATAAAATATTACCATAACAAAATAATAATATGTATTTATTTTCGTTTATTGTCTACACCCGTATTCGTGTAAATATTTCTTTTATGTTCCCATCAAAAATTATCATAATTTTATGTTCTTGATTTTGTCTTTGTAAGTCTATTGAATGCCAGGAAATACATTTATTGTGATAGCCACATATATTTTTATATGAAGAACGTAACGAAAGTAGTGATCTCCTGAGATTTTATTCACCCTGTCTTTGACCCTATAGAACATGTTCAATCTTTCAGAGGTCATTAACCTTCTGTTTAATGTTTCATATCATTAGTATGTGAATGAATCTCTTCAATGATCATGTTGTCCTGGTAATTTTGCACATTTTTATTATGAATGCTTTTTTTGTTTGTTGTTTTTGTAAATATATACAAAAAAGCCAAAAAGCGTATAAAAACAACTTTTCTGAATTATAAAGACAATTAAAATATAAAGAATATATGTAAACGCATAACGTTACATGTTGATTTATAAAAATTCACGTGGAAATTACACAGATTTTAAAAAAATACAGATAACGGAAACGCCTCTACCGAAGCGAAATAAAACCAAATGCAGCGTCCCATTTTGTTTATTGACTTTTCATCACATTAGTCAGTTTATTTTTGTGTTTGTCCGCGCAGGCCGTGTCCGTACCGCGCCCGCGTCCCGCCGTTCATCCTACTCCAGAGCAAGCGTTACCGACAGACACACAGCCAGATAATGTAAGATTATGTTCAAGTCTTATGACAAATACTGAAGAAAGCATTTATAGAATTTTGAATTTCGATCTTTATAATCTTTATCACAATATGTAAAAAATTTTACATGATTTTAATATATTTTAGCATATTACAACAGTTTTTATTTTTATTTATCTGTTTGTATGCCTATATTTGTAAATGTTATTCTTTTTTCTTTACACAGACCCGTCGTAGAGTAGAGACGGAGGCGACTACAGGTATAGCGACGGACACGGCCACTCCCCTACATAAAGACAAGACAGACAGACGGACAACCGCATCACCCCGACACGCGCCCGCTCATCTCAACGGATACGTGAGTACATCATCATTACCAGTCTGTTATTGTTCCTACAGTCGGGGCACAGACGATATGGAGAAAATGGGCTACGAGCCAGGGATAATGGCTTAACGGAACTCGCCTTCCCCTCCTGTGGTCGGCCTTTGGGGTAGGTTTAGACTGAATAGAATTATGCAAAACATATAAACACATTCGTAAAAGAAGCCAAATAGATCGTTTCACTGTTCCAGTCGACTACAGACAAACCGACCACAGACAAAGAGGTGGAGCCTAGAACGACGCCTGCGCCCTCGCCGGACCGACACGCTAAGGTAACGTATAACGTATCCAGTGTAGTGTACGCGCGGTGGCACGGTGTAGTGTACGCGTGCGAGCTAACATAATGTGGTTGCGTTGTACCAGGAGAGCAGCAACTCGGCGGTGACGGGCGCGACGGCGGCGCGGCCCGAGCGGCAGAGCGTGCCGCCGTGCAAGCCGCGCGCGCCCGCGCCAGGTACGCTGTACTCAGTTTACTAATGTTAGAGCTTTGAGCATGAATCACACCACCATCAGCCCTTTTACGTCCCCACTGCAGGGGCTCAGGCCTTCCTTATGGATGGTTAAGGAGAATGGGCCATGACCCGCCACGCTGGCCCGATGCGGATTGGAGGGAATTAACGACTGCAAATGCAGCCGGGACCAACGGCTTAACGTGCAATCCGAAGCACGGAGTAGCTCGAGATAATAATTTTTTGGTCACCCATCCCGTGACCGACCCTTGCGAAAGTTGCTTAACGACTACGAATGCGGGCCGCGGCGCTTATCCATTACGCCACCGAGCTGAGCATGAATACGGTCAATATATTTGTTACAATATTGCTCAAATGTAAAAAAATGTCATACGTAAAGAAGATTTATCTGTGATCTTTAGAGCATGCAAAAACCGGGATTTTCAAAAACCATTTTTTTGTCGGGTTTATTTATTTTAAAAAAAATCGATGAACTGGGTTTTATGGTTATTTCAGTTATTCTTCATTATTTATGACAAAAACCTAAAATAAAATAGTCTATGCATAAAATGCGAAGATTATAATAAGTCTACCACCGAGCTAGCTACCCAGGACCTAACAGGACTGACGAGTTCTTCAAACACTTTGCTTTTTCTCAGAGTGCCACGAACAAAGTGGATTATTAAGCATTTTTCATTGAGAATATTTTTCAGTATATCATTGTGAATGCAAAATTGATCGAAATATAATAATCACAAAATATAATGTATCGACGCGGAAATGAGAAAAGACAATGTACAATCAGATAAAAATGTCAGATCCGAAATTCAAAAGTAACCTTTTGTTCATTTGTAACTCTATCAGTATTTATGTGCAAACTAACTGTATGTGTTGTACAGGCGGTGGGCCGACGCTGGCGCGGCTGCGCGTGGTGACGGCGCCGCCCACCTGCGTGCAGGACCTGCAGCCCGCCACGCCCGGTGCGTACGCGTGCACGTACACGTATACGTATACACACACACACACACATATATATACGACACACCTGCGTTGCTGTACATAAGTTATGAAAATTAAATTAACTGTTACATAGTAAAACACGAATAATAGTAAGTGTGAGTGACACGCACGCACGGCAGATCGCGTCTCGGTCTTGTCTGTATTGCTACAGTCCCGCGTCGACGACACTTTTAAAAAAGACGCGGTCGACCTACGGCTTTGCGAACAATGGTGACTTTTTTTTCCTGTCACTATGCCTTCCGGTGGCGCGTGCACTTGGATACGTCACAATTAAATTATTTCCATAAAAGCAAAGAAAGCACGGCGACCAAATATCAAGTCACAATGATAAAAAATTAACCAGTGCGCGCATGCCCTTACCTTGTATTATTGTCTCTTATACACTTAATTTGTGTCGTGCAGGTGAAGCGGTCAGTCCGAGGATAGTAGCGGACGTGGACAGCGTACACTCGGACACACATTTCAAGAGAGGTTATTTATACAACATAGTCCTGATATTTTTATTGCCAGAACTAAATATTTAATGCATTTAAACTAACCGAATGATCGATGTGTATAAGTATTTCGTTCCATTATTTTATTAAATAGGGTTGTCACCTTTTTTAAAAAAGGGTTTCTATGATTTCTCACTTCCATATAGTTCGGTTGTCTACTATCAGGAAATATTAATATTTTAATTAATTTTCCATGTGTTTATTAGTTTTCAATAAATATGATGTGTACAGGCAACAGGCGACAGGCGCGGCCGCGTGCCGACCAGAGTTACACGCAGTTCGCAGTGATGGATGACGAGAACGTGTCAGCGTTACAACAGGTCATACAAACATATTTATTTATAATAAAAATTAATTATAATATGTTGTTCTTTATTTCTTACTTGCTGATTACATATGTAGGTATTGAAAATATTTGATCTGTATTTGAGTTAATTTTATGTGATCGGTAGTTTAAAAAACTTTTGACAAAAATTAATAAATAATTTTGGTGACTTTGAAAGAAATTCAAACATAAGTGCAATGTAATTTCTTCTATCCAGTATAAGTTTCACTATCTTATTTCGTAGACCACTTTTGAAATGTTACTACTAGACCCCCCATTTAAAGACCCCCATTGAGTTGTACAGTTAGATACTTGGATTCTGTCTGGATTAATCATAAAAATAAATAAGTAAATTGCAGATTTCTATGTTCCATACAGCTGTTATGAACTTTTGCTAAAGGAGAATGTTCCTTATTAACAGGTGACAAAAGGTGGTGCTCTAACGTTAGTATCTCTATGGAAATCACAATTCGACGACTCCGAGGAGACCACGGACAATGAATGGAAACAGGAACAGTTACAGGTATCTATAGCAAAATGTCACACTAAATATATACTGTATATTATTGTCTTGATATATTTTTATCTATGAACAGTAAATGTGTAAGCTATACTTGTTTCTTCGTTCGATTAGCTTGTGCGATATTGTTAACTCTTGTTTTCTACTTTAAGACACAGTTTACGCAGTTTAGTCAGTAGTTAGTATTTGCAATAAAGACGAGTTACTGCAAATATAACAGTCGTTAAACAAGTTGCTCGGTTGGATTACAAAAAGGTACTGGTAAAGTACTCGAGCTAATTGTTTCCTAATATAAGATTAATACTAGCACAACTTCCTAGATAAACGAATGAAAACTATACTGAATGTAAATTATGATTTATGAACATTAATATCTTATTCTTAGTGAAAAATGCTTAAATAATCCACTTTGTCCCTGAGTACTCTGAGATCTGTAGTAACGAAAAAATAACAAGTGCTTGAAAAATTCGTCAGTCATTTTATGTGGTCCTGGGAAGCTCATTGGTTAGAGCAGTCGGACGTATCACGAAATGTACCAGGGATTAATTAAAGTATTTTTTAAAAGTATTTCATTAAGAATATTTTCCAGTACAGCATTGTGAATGCAAATATACTCATTTGGTGCAATTTAAGCGAATTTTCGATATTCCTTTATACATAAAAGTAATCTTGTTCAAATTCCCAACAGTCTCCGGAGCACAGATGCGCGCGTACGAGTGCAGTATCGAGTTGTTCCCACGCCCCGCGTACACATCACACGCAACCCACACAGAATACACACCCCACGCAGAATACACAACCTACACAGAATACTCAGCCCACACAGAATACTCAGCTCACGCAGAATACGCAAGTAACGCAGCCCATACAGCTGCAGACCAACAACGCTCAAGTAGCGTCCCCCGCGGTGCCCGCTCAACCCGTACAGGTATTGATATATTATACAATATTATTAAGATTCAACCACTTCTTTTATATACTTTGATGAATTTCAATTATATCTTATTCCGTCTCTTACTTGGTATTTAACATAATAAAGGCAATCCTGAGGGCACGTATAATCCAAAAAATGTATCCGTTGAATACCTTCATATGTTTACTCTTGTTATATTAGTTGTTTAGAGAATCGTAAAGCAGTTTGACAGATTAGAATTTAGTTTAGTTTGTGCCAACTAAATTGCCACCAGTCTCACTATATGCTTGTTGTTTACAAACTCAGAACGGCTCGGACTCCAGTTTCAAACCATCTCTGAGCTCCCGATATTAAATTTCCGAAATGTAGTAAATGAATTTTTCTACATTGTTTCTGGTCTTGTGTGTTGTGGTACCTCATTGTTTCAGCTTTCTATAGTACAAGTGCTTTAGCTATTTAACTAAAGATCTGAATAGTGTATGTAACGTTTATTATTTAATTTTACAAGCAGACGGCAGAGAAGCCGTCGATATTCATGAGCAAACGTCACCAATGTCTAAACATACCGGGCATAGAAGCGTACCCCGCGCTGCAACCGACGCTGCCGCGCTGCTGGACGTTGCCCGCTATAGGTCAGTCAGTCATAACTGGTCATGTAACCTGTCCTTGCCCATTTTCTCTAGTAATACTTATAATTTAGTTTAAATTTTACTAATACTGAAAAATAAATTTAGCACTAGCTGACCTCATGTCTATTTGGACGTCGACGTCTAGAATTACTTTTGGCTTGGGATGATCATTCCGTACTAATTAAAAATACATGCCGAAATATTTTATTCTTGTTTATAAAAATTAGTTTGAGAATGGGACCTAAAATTAACCCCTGTGGGACTTCAGAGGTAACAGAGGACACTATTTTAACTCTCTATTTTAAATGTGAATTAAACTGGAACAATACAGATCTGCGATTGCTTTTACGTTCGAGTTTATGAATTAAAATAACGTGGATTACTTTGGCAATGCATTGCTAAAATCTATCTAAAGAAAAATAAAATAAATGTTATCCGACAAAACGACCCCAGGCCCGGCCCTAAAGAAATTTTTCTCAGATATTAGTGTGAAAATATTGTGAAGTAACCCAATTGCTTAATTCGGTGGCTAACATAGTTTTTTGCCCAGAGAGGTTTCAAAGGCGTAACATATTAAAATGTCACTTTTAAGGGAAAACTTGGTCCTTCCTTTATAATAATAATAACTAAAAAAAAAACATGTAATTATAAACTAATAAAAAAAATATATATTAGACGACAAGCAATCGTGTTACCTTATGTCCAAAAGGGTAGCATATGCGCTGCCCGCCTGTAAGTTTACCGTGCCCAGCACAGGGAGGGGGCAAAGCATAAAATTTAATAAAGCTAAGCGATAACTATTTCAATAGTTACCTTGTACTATGTATTTGTGTTATGAATTGCAATATCAATCATCAACTAATTCCATCACGTGATACTTGCTATTGGTAATAAATTACATTACACTTGTAACGCTCTAAATTGGCTTATATAATGAGGAGAGGTGTGTGTGTGTGTTCACACACTATACATTGTTGTCAATGAACATATCCAAATAAAACCATATTAAGTATATTTATATTCTTTAATTATGATTTCCTTTAATTTTTTTTTAAGTATATTGCCTTTGATAATAGTCCAGGCAATAGTCTATGTTAGCTACCAAAATTGGCAAGGGCAACACTTTAATTTTTTTAAATATTTTTCACACTTAGAATCCGAGTTTTTTTTAGCGCCGGATCGGGGTTTTCTTGTATAGATTTTGGCGGATCTCTTTTACTTTAAATATTTTTCGGTATTAGCAAAACAATTATTTATGTGAAATAGTTTTCGCATCGTGTAAATATTTTTTTAATTTGAATATAAACGTAAACGTAAAATAATTAATCGATAGTGCTCGTTAACATAAATGGATTCAGTTGATTTGTTACATATCATACATATTAATTATTTCAACATTAAACACAAAAGACTATGTATTTCACATAAAACTCTGACGAATTAACATGACACCTGTAGGCCTATTTTATTCCACCAAATATGAAATTTCCTCTATTTCCAAAATGCAAGCCAGGCTCCGCGTCGAGTAGGAGACGCGTCTTTCGAAAATTTATGACTCAACGGAGGGCGACCTCGACGTTTCCTCCGACATGCGGATAATCTTCACGGATACGATTTGAACTAAATCATAAAAACAATTAGGCTAAATAGCTATTCTATAATAGACCTCGGGTGTCATGCCAATTCTTAATACGGTGTAGGGTCTCACATCCGTTCGCTGCGGCCGCCGCTGGTGCAGCAGGCGTCGTTCGACGGCGTGGGGGGCGCGGGGGGCGCGGAGGGCGCGGGGCTGCGGTACCGCGTGGACGTGATGCGCGGCGTGGCCACCGCCGCCGCCACGCCGCCGCCGCAACAGCGCCGCGCGCGCTCGCTGCCCGTGAGTACACGTTTATACGTGTTCTGGGTGTGCGTGGTGAAGAAATCCCTTAGTAGGGGAGACCAAGCGGGGATTTCGGGATTTACTAAAGCGCGGCAGATTAATATACAGTGGGATACCTTGTACCCAGTTAAGTACCTGGACCAAGTATGAGCCCTATAAAAATGGCCGCCCGGCAAGGACGATGGATCAGATTAGTAAAAAAAATTGATCATCTGAAAATCTCGAGCGCGTCAGATTAAGGTAAGGTGAGCTAGTTACATGCTAAAATGTGTACATACCTCTAATCTGACAATTTGAGAGTGACGTAAAGAAGGGGGAAGGCTACAAAGTTGTAAAAAAAACGTCACTTTGACATTCTCGAGCGTGGCAATTTTTTTTTTATTTTGAAGGGAATCGTTCAAGGATTACGAAAAATATATAATCTGACGATTGTCACAAGCCGAAGTAATAAGAATTCATCGATAAGATTTAATGCGTTTAAGCTACGTGATACCTATATTTCCTTCTCCGCATCACTATTTCTCTCTCTTTTTCTGTCTATGACTCTCTCATTCCGTCCCCACTCTGGTTTCGGTTGCCATGAGGCCATGACAGCTGATGACACAGACTCGTTCGTGGCGTGATATTGTTTACATCGTATTTCCAACGTTTTTGCTTATTTTAATGTAAATTTTGTGAATTAAACTTTTTACATATTTACTAAGAGAAGAAGAGGAAGATGAATCTAGCGATGAAGATGACAATTAATAAAAAATACTGTAAAAATTAAATTTTCATATAATCATTTTCTTATAAATATAAGTATTTTACATAAAAAAAATTTCTATTTAATTAACCTGAATGATTTGAAAAAATTAATTTTTTTTTTTGTGTCAGTTTAAGTAAATCCCTTCAGATAATCGTCAGATTATGAGATATCACGTCTGGGGCATAAAGATGAACCATATATATCTTAATCTGACGCGCTTGAGTATTTCAAAATGGCGTTTTTTTTGCACATTCTAATAATGGTCACGCGTTTGCGTCACATCCAAATCGTCAGATTATTATATGAGAGCTTTTTTTAGGTTCACTTGACATCCCCTCAAAAAATCTGACGCGCTCGATTAAATAATTTTTTTTTTCATTTTCAACCCTTACGTATAACCACCCCCATCATGGAAACGATCAGATTAAAATACGACAGTTTTTAAAAATGCGTAGGACATGGATGATATTAATATCTGACGCGCTCGAGTATGTCCATACAACAGTTCTTTTTTACATTTTTAAAAATCTATAGCCGCTTCCCCCACCGATGAAAAGGTATATATTATATGATTTTTTTTTTGTTATCATCTAAGCTTCGCAACCCAATAGGTCTCTATGACGCTCGAGTAAATCCCGATTTAGCATCTTGGGCTCCCCTACTATCTGTTTGTGTGTGCTTTTAACGATACCGAGCTGTAGGGAGAATTTAGTGCGCTGGCTAAAAACTTACCTTTGTACATACATAGGTCTCCCCGTCGAACATATTGCCGTCGGTCATAAATCATTCTATAGAAAGGCTTCATTATAAATCTCGTTTATTTTCAGAACATACCGCATCGCTACATGTGTACTTTTATTGGATATCCCGTAATAACAGATATACCAAATAACAGTCGTGTATTGAAAACAGAAATAAGTGCGGTCCTAGTTTAATGCCTTGAGAGACGTAAAATTTTTCATCTCCTAACGGTATTCTAATGTAATTACATTCCTAGTGTTTAAACGCATAATTTGCACCAGTTTGTGTCTATAATTTCCAAATAGAATTTTCATCTAATTTTGTCTCCTACGTTCTACAAAGTCAAACGCTTTTGAAAAGTTAAAAAATATGAAATATATTTTAAGTACACAGCTGTCTAACTATGAACGTATGGTGTCGCGCAGAGTTTATCGTCGTCGTGCAGCAGCCCCATGCCGCGCGCGCCGCCGCCGGAGCCCGAGGGCGCCACGGTCTCGTCCCGCCTGGAGATTCGCGTGCGCCCGCCAGACAACGAGCACAGGCACTCTGGTAACTACTGCACACTGTACTCATCCTACGTCACACTGCACTGTTCTCTATGGTTATAACTACATACAAAATGTTAATAGTTTAATATGAGCTTTGCTCGATGTGGAAAAGATTAGATATACGTACAAAAAAAACCTGAATGAATAGCAGACATATTAGTAAAACCAATTAAGTAAAAACAACATTACCAGTGATGCGACGATCCGAATATTATCATTTGCTTAATATGATTACGGATATTGAAAATTATATTTATTTTATAGTTTAAAATACTTTAGGCTTTACGGTTCATCTGTGTACCATTTATGCGTTGCATTGAGATTTTTTTATTACAAGCTTGCCTTGTATGTTAGTTAGTGCGCAAATCTTGGAACTCAAAGGAGATTGCCTTTATCCGTACCATATTGCCTCACGGGTACACTATTACCAAAAATAATCTATTTGGTTTTTAAACCATACAGTGTGAGTGTATATGTATATAACAAATAATTAACAATTCCCCTGTTTCCGTAAAAATACATATCCGAAACATGACGCCGAAATATGGAACTGTTAAGTGTCAATAATGACAATCTATCGACATCTATTCCCATACTTTACTCTTTCTTTATTCGCTATCAAAGAGACTTTTATTCAGAAAAACTTAATATTTTTCGGTGAGAAATATTTACTATCTGTATTTATTTGTATTCGCCTTCTCCAATATTCGTATTCTTTAAAGCGGCATCGCTGACATCACTAGTGGTCACCTGATGTGCGATTGATCGATCGAGTATTATATACTGGCGCGCGCGTGTGTGTGTGTGTGTGTGTGTGTGTGTGTGTACAGTACGTATGTGTGGCGAGTATCTAATGATGTTCTCAAGTGTCCTGATGCGTGACAGTTAAGATACACTCGGTGGTGACCGGCGAGCCCGCGCGACTGGACGACCCCTCCGTCTACTACGACGCCACTGAACACCAGAGGGACAAGAGGTATGTCTTATATTATTTACGCCGTCGTTAGGGCCCATCCATAAATGACATCACACTTAACATTTTTGGGGTGGGGGGTGGGGACATTGTAACAATATTCAATAGAATTTGTGTGGACAATCTGTGACAAGGGGGGAGGGGAGAGAAATCGTAACCAATATAGTCATATGAAGGCAGTAATACGAAATTTGACAGTTAATTTATGAGAATATTTTTTTGTGTCATAATCAAAGAAGAATATAAGATGGTATGGTCATTGATCAATATCAAAAATCAGAACGTTCAACATTTCTAATCGAATGTTAGAAAATAATGCATTACACTGATAAAACAATAGGATTCTCTATTATAATAACAGGTCTTCGACTCGCAGTGGAGATAAAAGCCAAAGCCCCGCACCTGAACGTACGCGTCTGGACACAATACCGGACAAGTAAGTTAGTTAGTTAGTTGATTAGGTTGAACACACCGATAACAACATTTCAACAAATGAATAACAAGTTTTAATATAGTATAACGAAGTTAAAACAAACTTTAACAAAGTACTTCCTTGTTATTAAACTATAACATATTTGTGTTATGAAAAGATTGTCTTTTCATAACACAAATATTTTATGAAGGAAGTCTAGATGTAACCTCATAGAATTATCACATTATTATAATTATTTTGTTTAACCCAATATAGTTTTAATATGTTAATAAAGTAATTGATTATATTATTGTTTTAGAAATAATGTTTCATTGAAAAAGGACTCGAATAGCGGTTCCGGTGACGGCTCGCAGAGTTTGAAAGACGTGAGTAACACAATATTATAGTTTAATATTCAATTTGAAACCACTGTTTTTAATATTAAATATTATGAAAAATTTAATTTGAGACTAACATTTTTGTTAAAAAAAAAATGCATATTATGTGCTTAACCCTTCAGCACGCGATCGGCCGAATTCGGCCGGTCACGTGACTATTGCGCCATTCCGTGAAACCCCGCTAGTTCTTCTTATTTTCAGGCAGTTAAAGTCTACTTTAGCGATGACGCATGTGCTTGCATTCGTTTTTTAAATGTGTGGTGTCAGGTTTGAAGGGTTAAATACTAATCTTAGTGGTTATTGAATAGTTATTAATTTAGTGAGGCAGCATTTTAAGTTTGTTGTTTCTCCAGTCAAGATTTTCTAAAAAACTATACAATTTATAAATTCATCATGCCCGTTTTCACTAACCTAGAACAAAATATAACTAGAAATAGGTTTGGTACATCATTTTCAAAACACTCGTGTCGGCAACATCGACAAGTTTTTAAAGATATAAATTAACTTACGGGTTCTGTTCGAAAGAAGTTCAATATGATGGTGGAAACTCAACGTATTATCAATCAAGATACCCAAATATTTTGTATAATAATCTTAAGTAATCTGACTGCAGGAACGGACTTGTCTAAATAGACAAGAGTGGGCTACAGTGGAATGATTTTTATGTATTGCCAACTGCACATTCCTTGTAGAGTATATATATTTGGTTTTGTCAGTATTAAGTGTTAAGGCATTGTCGATGAGCCAAGAATAAACTTTATTAAAACCAGACTGAGCATAGCTATATGAACCTGTTGCCAAATATATACGTATTTCATATAACTTTAATCGTATATCTCGAATACAATGAATATCTTTAATATATGTTTCATATTTTAATATGTGTGTGTACAGCGGTGGTGGTCCGGCCCGGGGGGCAGCGCCGTGTCCCGCATCCCCGTGGCGCTGGGCGAGGGCCGCCTCGCCAAGTGCGCCTCCTGGAGCGGGGAGGGGCCGCCGCCCCCGCCCCCGCCCGCGCCCCCCACGCCGCCCCCCGACCCGCAGGACCTCACGCCCGGTAACCGCACGCCCTACACCACCATAGACTTGTTGCTATATACAAATAATCTCATAACTTTGTGGCTTTATGGAAACATAAAACAGTGGTTGTTGTAATACACGACGCCGTGTAATGTCGCGTGCAGGGCTGAGGCGTCGCCGGCAGAACGCGTGCGAGAAGTACGCGTCGGACCCCGCGCGGGAGCTGAACCTGCGGTTCGCGCGCCTGCGCCACCGGCGGCCGCCGCACGCGCCGCACGCACCGCACGCAACGCACGCAACCGCCGACGCGCACAACAGGTCTATATATGACGCAATCGTTTGGTTGCCGATTGGCTCTGGTCATTTAAAATAGAAGAAAATCGTTTGTTTGTTATGTATCAACATATTCAATGGAAAAAACACAACACGCATGAGTATATTATGTTAATTGTATTTATTTACATTCGACTCAGATTTGATATCACGTTTAACCGTCCGCCTCCGTACAGTTTTGAAGAGCGATCGATACTGCGGGAACTTGCCTCTTGGGAATGGTTCGAAAAACTGGCTCCCACAGATGAACTACGCGAACTAATTCCCACATTACTCGGTCCATAGTTTATTAATTCGTGACAGAATGAATAAAGGGGAAGTTAACCGAACTAATGTCGTCTCGATAAAAATATAAAGTATATTATTTTTGTGTATATAAATATGATGTAGAAAACATACACAATGTTCAATAATGTTGCCACAACGAGGAGGAGCAGTATCAGGACGAGCGAACGAACTGCCTTAAAATAATTCAATACAAGGCTGGTCGTTCGCTACTTTTAAATCTGCTCCTGCTGCAAAGAGTTAGGAATCTAACCGAACTAACCGGTTCGCCCGTTCGTTCTATTACGCCCTCTACTAGTGAGTAGTGTATAATATGTATGTGTATGCGTGTGTGTGTACAGCGAGGCGCAGTCGTCGTCGGAGTCGGGCTCCCCCCCGCCGCCGCCCGCGCCCCTCCCGCCCGCGCACAACGCCGCGCGCGCGCGCCGGTTCCGCCCGCTCTCCATCGCGCCGTAGTAGGTCAGTGCTACAGTGGGGCAGTGCACGTACACGTACACGTACACGTATGGCGGGACGCGCCACCCGAAGCGCGGGGTAGCCTGTATTACGCATATGAATCTTCCTCTCGAATCACACACTCTGTATATTGATAAAACCGCATCCGTTGTGTAGCTCAAAAGATGACAACGGAAGGCGACTTTGTTTTAAAGACCGCGAATAGACACAATCAAGTCACAGAATAACTCTGAATCATTATATAATGTTTTTCAGATTTTCTCTTTTATTTTTTCTCGTAGGAGCTGATGATCCACGATGATGCTTCGAAAGAGCCCTTCTGACGAGCAGCCTAGTATATATCGGTTATATATTATTATGATATAGCGCCTTATATCTGTACGCCACGTGTAGTCTATATAAAATATGATGTGATGAAAATACAAGTGTATTAACAAATTTTTCATAACTTAAAGGAGTAAGTCAGTCACAGGACTTACCAGGAAAGCATAATTGTCACGCAAATGCAATATTCTTCCTCAAAATGATTATATTTGATAAATTTTGTATTCTCGATGGCGATTTAACTTATAGAAAAGTTCATATTCAGTTAATTTTTAGTTATCAAGAAAATATATTAGAAACCCCGTTTAAACTTCTCTGAGATTATGCTAACCTGGTACTTGGTATCACATTTTGTTTAGAGTGGGTGCATTTGTGATCTCAATTTGTAATTTGACTTTACACTTCGTATAATGTTAGAAAAAAAAAAAAACAAATTAAACATATCTAAATGTGTTAATTCAAGCTAAATGTGATTAATGCGTAAGCATAGTTCAAGAGATTGAGTGTATAAAAAAAAATAATTAAATAAATTAAATCTCAAATGGAAAATTGTAATTTATTTATATTACTATTTTTATATGCCCCATATGAATATTGTAATATAAATAAAAATACTGTATATATATACATACACATCATAAATATTGTTGATTGAGTTTTATATAAAAATTAGACTAAATATTGCATCCTATCACTTCGACTATGCTACGCATCTAGGCAAGACTTAAATAAATAAAATAATCCTTGGCGATGTACATACGTAATGTATTACTTATAAAATATATATTATAGCTACTTATATAATAGCATGCTTGAAGTTCATAAAATAAGATTTTACGAAGAGAACTCATATTTTATATAGATTATGGAAATAAAATGTTGAATCAGAAATAAGAAAATGAACTTGTGCAAAAGTGCACCGCTTTAAAACATGTGTTTGAAACAAACCTGTTACTTATTTATAGTACGTCGAATATATTAAAGATTAATTGCAACAAAATGTGATCGAGACCTGAGTGCAGTTGATAAGCTATTTTAATCCTTATTCTATGGTCGATAAGGTTGCTAATAGTCTCACGCGATATTAAGTCTAAAATATTGCATTAAGACAGTGCTAGAAATGACATAAATAATAACACTCCAAGTGCTCGCATATATAACTTGCTCCGTCATCCACTTGAATACATTTATAAATGTTTAATAACGTGGCTCACACCGATCGACGGTAGACTATTATTTTATTTAAATTCAGTTTTTATTTCATAAATTGCATTGTCTATACTTTATTACAGATTTTGTCAACATATGACATTTTTAGTTAGATCTGGAAGTTTCAAACATCTATCATAAATATTATATTGAATGTTTGTTAAGTGATTTTTATAATGTCATTTCTAGTATATAGTTAGTGCATCGTTGCTGTTCTAACAGCTTACGAACAATACTCTTATAGCAAATAATGAATTTTAGATCTCTTTTAGATAGGGTATGCCTTCTCTCTACTGCTTCTTAAGAGTATAATGGTGTTTGCTATGAGCGAAATGTTTATAATATTGTAATAGTTAATATATAACACTGAATCAACTAACTGGTATTCGTGGTATGAGGGCCTTAATATTGTTCCTTGTATGGTACACGTTTCAGATATTCGATTAGAAAAAATACGATGCATGTTTTGTCTAATCGAATGTTTAAAATTTACTTAACGCGTTTTGTAAGGTCATATTTCAAAGTCTGACTTCGAACTTTATTATTGAGTATATGTGAGTGTTCGTTAAATAATAATAAAACTTAGAGTACTAGTTATTAACAAAATAAAAAATTATAGCTACCAAATATTATATGCATTTAATGCAGTTTTCCTATAATCAAACAAACAAACGTCTAATTATAAATATTTCGCTTGTAAAAAATATGCAGAATTAAGTCGCAGAGAAAGGACACTATAATCGAATGTGTAAAGAAAAACGACCAGAAGCGTTGAGGACTTTCGATTATGCTAATCATTATGATAGAGTTTATGCTTCCCTGGTATGAAAGAAGTTAGGTATATGGAATTTTGAATTGGCAATTTTTTTTTCTTAATATATTTTTAATTCTTTTTTATATCATATCTATCAAGTTCAGTAAAAACAAAAAATATACGATGTAATTCTCCTTGTGATCTTAGTAAATCGTGACCAAAACGGTCGTCTCCATTGACTAATCCGTTTGTACCAGGATATCGTAAACTTAAATGAGGTTATCGCAGACGCTTTAATATCTGTATAGGTACCATACTATGGTCGTTATGTATGTACATATTAAGACTACACGCTCACTACTTGTTATTTTTCTATTTTTAGTTGAGGATTGTATTCTTTTTGTATCTCAATTATGGTGCATCAATTATTTATTATTTAGTTAAGTGCTATGACATTTCAATGTGACAGTAACTTGAAGGATTACTCGAGCTTCTTGATATTAAGGACTTCATTATCATAAGGGAATACGTCAAGTCGTCATCCTTAAAAATAAGAAGCCTTAATAACTAAGATTTAAGATTGAGAATCGCTCGTAAAGTAACTGAGTTGTGTTAATGAAACTAAGCAACTGGGTATTAATGTTTTTTTAATAAAAAATAAAAAAGTTTAAACCAAAGTTGTTAAGTTTCCGAATAAAAGATCAAGTTATTTAAGAAATAAGTTAACAGAATAATAATACTGTGTATATTTTGCATTTTCTTTTTATTAATTTAATGAATCTTTAATTGTGTCTGTCAGAATATTATTTTATTTATATTTGTTTCTAAATTTTATAATAAGGTAAAGTTTACTATATTATCGTTTTATGTTTTGCATGCAGCTCGATACAAAGTATCTTAAAAATTATAATAAATGTTTTTAATTATTAAGGTAACTTTTTTATATTTTGATTGTAATTAGACATAAAAGATTTCGGTTATAAATATTTATATATTACATGACAAATAGAGCCAATGTCAACATGTGACAAAATCCCTGAATAATAATAATAATACGTCACTCAGAAGTACAGAAGTGCCCGCCATTTATTACAACAGCCAGGTAATGCCAATCGATGTGACCAAAATTAATAAATATAATGATTGTGTAATAAACAAAGCTTCAAAAGCTATATATTTTGTGTTACCAATTATACAAGTTGCCTACTCAAATTATAAAATGGCGGGATGTTAGCCCCTAAAACGAAAATGCTAAGATATTATTGTGAAATTCTTTTAATATGAGACAAACTGACAAATTGCTATGATTAATTAGTTTATATGATTTTTCATTTGATGAACAAAGGTGACGGCAAGTGTAAAAAATATGTGTCTTAAGCATTATCCGTAATACATATTTAATTTTTATAATTATATATAAGTTAATAAAAATATAACACGCTTATAGAGTATAAGGGCGAGATGCATAGATACGGACACGCCGCCATAACGTACCAGGAAATGACGACGCACTAAAAAGGTTTTCGGATATGAGTTATACTAAATAAGGCGTTTTTGTTTTTAATTCGGGGCTAATGAATAGAATTCCGGATTCGTAATGTAAATAATGAATGTTTTTGAAAATTTAAAGAAAACTGGCGCGATCGCTCTTAACTTGCTCTAAAATGAGAACTCTATTACTTTGTAATGTGTCTCTTCCAATGAGGAAAGGCAGATGATAACTTGTAAATCCTGTCCTGCGATTCTGTACAAATTCGAACCCGAATTCGAATTCCTCAGGCCTCCGAATCCACTTCAAAAGCGGCTGCCTCTAAGCCTTGAATTGGCAATACCGTTTCGTGGCATAAGTGAAATGAGTTTCGGAATGACATAGTAATAGAATATCTGCGTACACGTGCGTGTACACGTACAATCAGTCAATTTTGTTTTGTATTTTTATACAAAACATGGAATCAATAGAATTTATACAATATAATATGATGTGAATGCGCGCACATGAGTGAATTCGAATTCTAATTCGACATTTTACGGTTATTTATGTTTAATTCAGACGCGTTTGATCAGCGTTATCATGTTGTAGAGTTGACACCGTATCCCGTGTGACGAATTTGAACCGTTCCACCTTGTAATATAGGCTACATTACAATGTTGCTGTTTTTTATTAGATTGAAAGTCTTTTGCCAAGACAATAAGCTAGATTTTGGGCTGGCGACGTCACTTAGGATGCGTTGATGACTATACAAGATTTTTTCTTTTTATTTCTCGTACCTATTGATGTTGCACTCGTATTATGGATACTTGGCAGCTTCCACGTATATTATAATTGTTTTTTATTAAAGCGAAATTCTTAAACTATCTTAATTTTTCATTAGCACATTTCGACACAACAAATAAAATCGGTTTTGGTATAAAAACTTATTCCAGTACAATAAATTGTCAAATAAAAAATTTCAAAAAACTGTATATTGCCCGACTGCTCCGTTATATTTCAGGAATATACAAATGTATAAAATATTAATATTATATATATATATATACATAATAAAATTACGTTACGTAGATGCCATTAAATTCTAGTCTCGCGCTGCTTAGTTGATAGTAAAAAAAATATATGTAATAATTAATATTACTAATAATAATAAGCGGTAAGCATTAAATATATTGATATATTGAGCGGTACGTTGTATTGCAATGGGAACTTGTTGGATCTTGTAAAGCTTTTGTCGCTTAAAAATCTGTGAACGGTTTTCGAGACTATTTCAATATTATTTTTCTTGTATTCGATGGCCGTGCACATTATCTCTAGTCTACGATCAATTTCCGTCTGAATATAATAAAAAAAAAATGCGAGAGACAATTATTTTTGTCAATAAATTATGTATAAAGTTGTTATAAATATATATGTATAAAAATAGACTCCTTTTAAGCAATTTTCGTTTGCTAATATCGAATGTTAGTTTTCATGTGTTTACTTTATGTGAAGTATTCAAAGATTTTTGTTTCTTTTAAGTTTAAAAGTATGTGTTAATATTTCTGTAATTGGTTGTAGAGTGGTGAAAATAGGAAGAATATCAGTCGATTTGGAAACCAACATTCGTTTTAGCTTTTGGCCTAGGGAGGCGGTGCGAATTTTTTTATTTTTATCTGTCAAAGGATGCACGCTCATTGTTTTTATTTTGCCATATTTTTATTTTATATTTACCGAAATATGCACAATGAAATTTAAATAAAAGGTATTTGTCCTTGAACGGTGGTTTTATTTACTCTTTGTCTCGTAGTGTTCAGGATTTTGTCACAAATTCATTCATATTTGAAGGGCATTATAATGGATATCGTACATTTCCACTTCGATCTGTTGATACAACTAGATGCCCGTTCAGATTCTCAAAAATGACCGAAGAGATAACGCCTCACTTCAAGTGCGGTCTTATTTTGTTTGTGACGGCGCCAGTGT